TATAAACAAAAATGGGTTTTTCTCCGAAGTTAGGAACAATGGTGTCTGGCTCACGTCTTTCATACCGAATTCTGATAATATACTGAACCGCAAAAGAAACGCAAGTTTATTTAGAAATGTGAATATTTCTGAATCTGTGGAACAAACAATCTTAACACTACGAAGAAATAACAGACAAGTGATTGTTGAAGAAATGAGTCATGGTCTCTGGTGAAAACAACACTCAAGTTTACTGTAAAAGCATATGTTATCACTCCACCCTCACACACCAAAAATGTCACGAAACAGTGTGTCAATCAGTAGCGCGTGTGACCACTACTGGCGGCAATGCAGGCAGCACAACGACGTCTCATCGAGTCAACAAGTGTCTGAACGAAGGCTTGGGGAATTTGATTCCATTCCCTGGCCAATCTGGCTTCCAAATCTCTAAGGTTTTGAGGTTGAGCAGCTGTCTGTATCCGTCTACCAATTTCATCCCACACATGCTCGATTGGTGCCATATCCGAGGACAGAGTGGGCCAGGGCAGTACAGCAATGTTGTTCCCTCTGGGAAGTCCATAGAGACCCGTGCAGTGTGAGGGCGAGCATTGTCCTGCTGGAGCGTCTGGAGCTGAGGTTGGGCCTGGAAGAAGCGGTACAGCGTGGTGTTGAAAGACCTGGTCTCTGTAGACTAGAGCAGTCACACGTTGACGAAACACGTGTAAACATGTTCAGTGGTGGTAGCTGAAGCCACCCCGTACCATGAGTCTTCCACCTCCCCAGAGGTCAGCTTCCACAACACAACAGTTGGTATTAGCGTTCATTCACGTCGTGTCCATACGTTATCGGCCCGTCGGCGTGGGACAAGTTGAATCTGGACTCATCAAAGAAAACAACACTTGTTGCCATTGTTGACGTCGCCAACGGTGGTGTTGTCGCGCCCACTGTAAACGATTTTTGGCGGTGGCGTTGCGTCAGAATCGGTCCGGCGTGAAGGACGGCGACATCTCATCCCTGCTGCCCTCAGACGATGACAAACAGTGTGTGCAGAGATGTGGCGTTGTGGCCCTTGAATGGTTGCAGGTGTCTGTGTTGCTTTCGTTGCTGTCGGTTACCGGATGAAGTAACCGGATGTGACGATCTTGCGCTGGCGTTGTTACCCTGGGACGTCCTGAGCGTGAGTCGGTCTGGAACATTACCGGTTTGGCGATACCTTGCGGATAGTCTTGTGATTGTTGTCGCGTGACATCTGAAGTGCCTGGCCACTTTAGTTGGTGTGGATCCGGTCTGCAACATTCCAGCGGGCGATTCATTCGTTGCTGTTCAGTTAGGCGTAGCATGTTTTCTCCGCGTTGTCACAGTCAATTTTGTGTTCTATGGTGTTTTTTGAATGACCTGCCTTATAAAGCTTCAGACTGGAGTGAAATGCACGCATTTTTGTGTGAAACACAAAAACTTCATGCAAAAAACACGAAAAACATGAAAATGATTGCGTTTTGGCGATGTGGTCAAAAATCAGCGGCAACAAAGGCAAAACCATCTTCGAATGCTTAGTTCTATAATGGTATACTTTGTTGTCCTAAAAGGAATGCATTTGGAACGTATGTTTTGAAAATAGTAACTTGCGTTTCTTTTGCGGTTCAGTATATAAGAGTTTTCCAAAGAACAGTCCGCTCAGGCAACAAGTTACATTCATCTGAGGGCTCAAGTTTAAGGGCCAACTTACCTGATATCCTACCACATCCTATGACTGTGAACCCAGACTCAACGCTCATCATAGAACTCCTTCTGGGAGAGACTGCTTTGAGTAACCACTGGCACCTTTTACCTGGGTTGACAATAAACTGGAGAGCTGGACATGATTATGGGGGCCTACGTTTCCTTATCATCAGGTACTCGGAATCGAACATCTTAGTAGAACCTTCACTGGCTCAGGTAGAAGAAAATGCACCTATTAGCCTTTCCCAGATTTTCCTGAACGAGAACCAATCCCTTATAGGCCTCAAATACATTATGCCACATTTAACAATGATGAATTAAAATATATCTTACCCAGGTTATACTGAATGAAAACCTAGCCCTTATAAGCCCCAAATACATTGATACTCATTTTAAAATCGACGAATTAAAAAATATCTTGCAGTAGATATTATACACAGGATGGGACTGTACCCAGTTGTAGAGGAAGTAGCAAAGACACTGGAAACCGTAGACGGGTTCCGCTTGAGACAGTTATGTGATGTAAAACGCCAACTAGAATAAGACCGCGACACACGGAAAGCACTATGTAAGAAGAACCATAGAGCTTTCAATATCGTGGATGGGGCTGATACTGTCCTTACGACAACCAGCATGGGACTAGGGGCGGCAGGTGTTGGGTTGTTAGCCACCATCGTGGCAGCACCTATAGTACTGGGCATCCAAATAACAGCTGGGGTAGTAGGGGTTGTAGGGTTGCATGATGCAGACTGCATCGTAAGACATTAAAACACGACGAGATCAGGGTTCTGGCCCGAAGCAAAGCTGAACACTTTTCCACGGCACTCTCTGACAGTAAGATCTCAGAGGAGGAGTTTCGTTCAATCCTCTCTGAACTTGACAAGTACCGTGAGATGAAACAAGACATTCGGTCCAAGTCTCGTAAGTCTGCCATCAACGAAGACGAGAAAAAAAAGTATATATACTGAACCGCAAAGGAAACGCAAGTTACTATTTTCAAAACATACGTTCCAAATGCATTCCTTTTAGGACAACAAAGGATACCATTATAGAACTAAGCATTCGAAGATGGTTTTGCCTTTGTTGCCGCTGATTCTTGACCATATCGCCCAAACGCAATCATTTTCATGTTTTTCGTGTTTTTTGCATGAAGTTTTTGTGTTTCACTCAAAAATGCGTGCATTTCACTCCAGTTTGAAGCTTTATAAGGCAGGTCATTCAAAAAACACCATAGAACACAAAATTGACTGTGACAACGCGGAGAAAACATGCCACGTCTAACTGAACAGCAGCGATGAATCGCCGTTGGAATGTTGCAGACCGGATCCACACCAACTAAAGTGGCCAGGCACTTCAGATCTCACGTGACAACAATCACAAGACTATCCGCAAGGTATCGTCAAACCGGTAATGTTCCAGACCGACCACGTTCAGGACGTCCCAGGGTAACAACGCCAGCGCAAGATCGTCACATCCGGGTTACTCATCCGCGTGACCGACAGCAACGAGCAACACAGACAGCTGCAACCATTCAAGGGCCACAACGTCACATCTCTGCAGACACTATTCGTAAATGCGTCTGAGGGCAGCAGGGATGAGATGTCGCCGTCCTTACGTCGGACCGATTCTGGACTTAGCGTCACTGCCAAAATCGTTTACAGTGGGCGCGACAACACCACCGTTGGCGACGTCAACAATGGCAACAAGTGTTGTTTTTCTGATGAGTCCAGATTCAACTTGTCCCACGCCGACGGCCGATAACGTGTATGGACACGACGTAATGAACGTTACGCCAACTGTTGTGTTGTGGAAGCTGACCTCTGGGGAGGTGGAAGACTCATGGTACGGGGTGGCTTCAGCTACCACCACAGTACACCTTTACACGTGTTTCGTCAACGTGTGACTGCTCTAGTCTACAGAGACCAGGTCTTTCAACACCACGTTGTACCGCTCTTCCAGGCCCAACCTCAGCTCCAGACGTTCCAGCAGGACAATGCTCGTCCTCACACTGCACGGGTCTCTATGGACTTCCCCAGAGGGAACAACATTGCTGTACTGCCCTGGCCCACTCTGTCCTCGGATATGGCACCAATCGAGCATGTGTGGGATGAAATTGGTAGACGGATACAGACAGCTGCTCAACCTCAAAACCTTAGAGATTTGGAAGCCAGATTGGCCAGGGAATGGCATCAAATTCCCCAAGCCTTCTTTCAGACACTTGTTGACTCGATGAGACGTCGTTGTGCTGCCTGCATTGCCGCCAACGCCGCTACTGATTGACACACTGTTTCGTGACATTTTTCGTGTGTGAGGGTGGAGTGACAACATATGCTTTTACAGTAAACTTGAGTGTTGTTTTCACCAGAGACCATGACTCATTTCTTCAACAATCACTTGTCTGTTGTTTTTTCGTAGTGTTAAGATTGTTTGTTCCACAGATTCAGAAATATTCACATTTCTAAATAAACTTGCGTTTCTTTTGCGGTTCAGTATAGAACAAGGGGTACGAAAAGCCCAGCAAGCCTTCATTACGAACACCAAAGAGATCATAGGCGATTCACATTAAACTGTTTCCTCTAGGTCAACACGACATAGAGCCATCACGAAAGTGTAAGTTCGCGGACATAGTGACCAGGAAGTTAAGTGGGGATTCAAAAGTAGTATATACAATGGCGCCAAGATCTAAGGGCCTGACATAAGCTTTATTTATGAAATAAAGCTTTACAGCGGCCTTTCTTGAAACTGATCTCGGACTATTATTGTATAAACTTCTCTTGCCGTAGTGATTTGACTCCTTCAAAACGAATGTCGATTTCCGAAAGTAATCTGGATTTTTATAGCCAGATAGTGCATGCTCTTTGCTGCACAATTTCCAATGTAAGGAGATTTCTGTTGCGTTGTGGCGATGCCTTTCTATTTCTGGTACAAATTCTCATCAAAATCAACATTTTCAGGTAAAGTCGACTTTTAATGTATGCAATTGTGTAAAACCATGTTATCAACGCTTTCTTTACATATTTTGGCGATTGTTGAAAGCAATAAGTAATTAATAGATTTTTATAAATAGAAATCGCCTATTCGTTCCTATTTGGGGACCGTAATAATATTAAACTCGCTTCCGTGAAATGCTAAATTTTTTTTAAACTCGTGAAAGATTATATATATTATTATAAAGTATACATATCACTTTTGCTCATTTGATACAAAATCATTAACTCGATTAATAAAAATGGTATTACACGGAAGGTCATTTAGTATCCTCTGTCTATCTGATGGTGAATTAATTACAGGCTAGAACTTACCATATGAATATAATCACTGCACCCACAAGGACAAGCATTGTTAGAACAACTGGAATGACGAACTGGGAACTGTTTATCGGTGCCTCACCTCTGGTAACGGTTGTAGTACCTGCACTGATATAGGTCGTATCTGCATAATGATAAACACATTAATGAGAACTTGTACATGCAAAGTCCTCAACGTTGAATAACAAACAGAAGGGACGATAGCGGTTAAGCAGTTCCACACATCTTGGTGACATTTTACAAATGACACTCTGAACATTGTACATCTATTAAAATATAATACAGCTTTTGAATTAAGTGTATCAAGATGATATTGGAAATGGAATTTCACATTTGTCATCGTTCACATTATATGTTCAGCTTCTTTTCGTTTATTAATGTTTCAAACTTATTTAACCTTGATGGACGATGGTAATCCCACTGGAAATCTCACAGAAGACGCCGATGTGATTTTCTATACATCCCCGAGTACAGTGTCCATTGTGCTGATTGCAGGTGTTTCCTAGACAATGTTTGCTGCACGGTTCCTCACACTGGTCACCGTACACACCCACTTTGCATCCTTCGAAGCATCCTCCGGTGTCTTTGTCACAACGCACTATGCCATTTGGAAAAGGTTCACAGTTTTGAGAACAACTTTTACTACAACCATCGCCATATTTTCCAGGCTCACATTCCTCTTCACCTTGAACAGTCAGACCTGGAATATGTTGACGGTGATCCACATTTCAAGTTTTGTCAAAGCACAGATGACATACACCTTAAAACATATACTTCAATGTCAGGACAATTACGCCAGAAATGAGAACGTGAAAGAATTTAGTGTGAAACCATCAACAAACGATGAACTGTTTAACAATGAAGACATTGATATAAAGATAAACTAAATTTATTAATTAATGCAGAGGAAGTGTAATAGTACGACAAGCGCTATAACAGTACACACAATGACAGTATGACATAAAAGCTGTGATGATAACAGAGGTCAATCTTCCCAAATCTGCCTGGGATGGGAATCCAGTTTGAAGACGCTAACAGAGCATGGCTCTGTTCCATAAGGCGATCGTATGTCTGTCAAGGTCTAGGAGTTTTTGATTGCGTCGTGGAACGGAGCCTTGATCTTGATGTTAAGTGAGATAGGACGGAGCCAAGCACGTTCATCTATATCTGTTGTATATATCCTAAAACATTTCGTTACATGATGGATTAATGTATGTAGTTCTAGCAAATCCTCCATTACCCTAGACTCCGTTTCTGTATATGGTAATTAGCACACCACTGCCTTCTACTGAAAGGTTTTAAAATGATACTGCCTCCCAACACAATATGGGTTGGGGGTGTGGGTGTGGGTGCGGGGTTTGTGCAACCATCATTATAAACCTGTTCCAGGCACTTGTGTCCATAGTTAATATATTTCAATATAGTGTGTATACTAATCTCACGAATGACTTAAATGCGCGATCATATCAACGACACGCACGCACGCACACATGCACAGACACATACAAACAGGCTGCAACGAAACCGCATTGAACTGCCGCGTGTGGGTAAGCAGCTCCCTGATTGGTCGATTTGTTTCAGTTTAACTCTCGTTATCGTACATACGGGACATTCCGTTTGCATGACCAAAAAGTGCCATTTAAGACCGTATCAAAGCAATGATTGTATGCTATTGGTATTTATTACTCGCCCGTTGAAGATACTGCAATGTAATATTTTAACGAAAAGATTACACTAGTGTAATACCGCTACACTTATGACGTCATAACAGTTATGAGGTTACAATGCTAACATCTCTGTCACAAGTGTATAAAAACCTGCTTGACTCGCGGAAAGTTGTGAGTCATCACACTGTGGGCATTTTCTATCAATTTATGTTAGAGAGTAATAAACAGAATACTAAAGTCGCTTAATGTGAAATAGCATTTTTATTAAACTCTTTCGTTTGATACCAAATCATGAACTCGTTTATTTAAAATGGTATTACACGGAAGGTCGTTCAGTATCCTCTATTTATAACTCACCCGTTGAACATCACGTGGTGCCGTACGTATGGCGTAAAACTGGATTACGGTTATGACGTCACAATGCTAATACCTCTTTCACAATAGTATATCGCAGAAAACATCTTTATCCATCCCTCTGCTCATTATACGATTCGGGAACGTAGTAGCAGAACATCGTGGTACGGAGCACTCAAAATATACAACCTCACTCTCGGGCAGATTGCTTCTAACTAGCTACTGCGTGTTGGTGCGCGTGATACTCTCGTCAACATCAGCGGTTACGTATGAACAGAATAGGGGGCGTGACCTAAGGGCGCCTCGTCCTTTCATTGGATGCTAAGGGGTCAAATCACGGTCCTAGACATAAATATACCTATTACATCAAACACAGGCGTTATTGCCGTGGGTACCTAGCTGCGTAAGTGCTAAAAGCCGCACTTATCACCTCTTTGTATGGTTGGCTAGTAAAATCGGTTTGCTTCGAGACAGCGGCGTGGGAAACAGCGTTAACATTCCTACAGCTTTGTCACTAAACTAATTTTTCCCTCATCAAAACCCCTTTCTCTTAAAGTTCTTGAGTATACTCTTCTTGGCATTATCATACCATCTGAAAACCATGGAATCGTTTTCAAGCGTATTACTTTTACTGAAATGCCTAACTATATCATCGTTAGAAATGCCTCAAGATCGCCAGCTGCCGAAATATAAACAATGGTGACCGCAAGCTTTGTACACGAACTCTTTTGTAGGAATAATGCAAACGACCGTATTTTGCCACAAAATCGTGAAATTCGGGCCATATTCGTGTGTAATGTATACCGTACGAGTCGTACATGTGTAATCTATCTGCTTCACTTTTTCTGTCCGTGTTGCAAATAAACAGTATAGCATATTCCAATCTCTTCACCCTGCCACAGTCTGTTCTATTACCACACACCTCTACCAAAGTATCTCTGCTACTTATACCGCCATAGCTGTTTTTAAGAAAAGGCTCATTACGTCCAATCTGTACGGATAGTTGTTGACGGTATGGTTTGAGAGTGATATGCACCCCATGGTCCCAAAGGGTAATTGGACGTGTCCTCATTCTAGCCATAACCATCACAATGTATGCTCGGTACGCACAGTTGAAAGACGAAAATCACCTCTATTATCTTACACTTCATATGTCCACGGCTTATCGTATATTGTTGCTACTAGGTCTAACAATCCCTTATTACACAATCATTTCGACCACCGTGTGTGTCGACGCCGTCGCCTCTACACCTTTTCCTCCACATAGACTTGTCTATTGTCTAGAACATAACCCCTACGTACATCGTCAATAGGTTTAATTGTTCTAACCGCCCCCTATGCACAACCGTGAGTGTCGATGCCGTCGTCCCGCCAGGTTTCCCCAATAACTCGCGTAATGTCGCGAAAATTGCACCTACTATCTTATACATCATTTCCCTCTGTCGATGTCGTCCATTGTGTGCATTGAAGCTATAATCCTTTTAACTACGATCGTAAAGTGAATAGACTTCTCTCTCTCTCCCTCGCTTATCACAAAATTGTGCAAAACGACGACATTCTCATCACGGTTGACGAGGAAGACCCTGTATACGCGTTAGTGAGAAATACGGACATGTCTCTTCTAGAACATCCCGAGGATGATTGAAAAGAGCAATCGTGTCACAAGGCAGCGGAGAGTGAAGTTTAATTTTGGCATTATACACAACTCAGTGGTTCTATGGAAGGGAGCAACCTGCCTCACGGCCGATACCGTTTAAAAAGGTGTCATGTGCCGCTAACTGACATACTACCCGCCATAAAGAATCCCTGCTACTGATGCCGCCACAGATGGTTTTAAGAAAAGGATCATTATTTCCAAACCATTGCAGATCTCGCCCGTACAGTATTTCAGATGGATAGGTTATTTGCCCATCATCTGTGTTAGTGTATAGCAGCATTGCTAAAATGATCACATTCTATTATACTGTCCAACTCTCTATAGGGCACCAGTGTAAACCACAACATGCGACACTTTAATATACCACTTTTCTTCTTCGTAAACACAAACCATGGAATCGTTTTTAACCATATTCTCTTTACTGTAATGTTTCACCATATCGTCCCTAGAAATGTTTCGCTGTGTAACCATCGGGAGTGGAACATCTTGTAGGTAGGTAGGTAGGTAAACACGGCTTAGGTGTAGTGTGTTATACTTTGAAAACAGTGTATCGTATTTTTATAAGGGCCGGTGATAGTTTTGGAATGGCCTACCATACTTTTGATACGGTGTGTCATATTTTGAAAACAGTTTATCATATTTTCATAAGGGTGTGTCATACTTTTGGAACATGGTTATACATTCTCCCATCATTTTAGTAGTAAAATCTGTGAGAATTGTAGGGAGAATGTATAACCACACGCAAAGGCATGACACACTGTTCCAAAAAATGACGACACGATATTCTAAAAGTGTCACACGTCCTTCCCAATGTACGACTTACTGCTCCAAATGTATGACGCATCGTTTCAAAAGTATGCCGCGTTGTTCTAATTGAAATTCAAACGAGCCGAGGCGCGATAGTTCAAGGTGAAACCTCGAATTTTGCAAACTTCCTGCGCACCTTCACTCGGAGGATGGTGTAGCCTGTAAGCATAATTTTTCGGTCCGCAGGTGACAAATTCGTCGATCCAATTACCATCCTCTATTTCGTCAGTCCACTCGCCCAAAGAACCGCCGAGCTTCAAACAGGGGGGCTCGTCATCGTTTTGTACGTAAATGACCGAATCTGTGTCAAAATACAACACGTTTTAGCCTAGGGCATCCAAGGCCTCATACAGTTTCAGACGCGCTTGTGCCGTTACCCATGCGGCTAAGACGGGATTGCTGGCAGTATGAGGTATTAGGTGTGCTTCGTTGGGAGAGTAGGTGATGAGTAGAGTGTCGGGGCTAATCAAAACGACGTCTTTCAGTTCTATGGTCTTGTCGTGAAAGAGGTCGTAGAAATTTCTCTCGTTTGTGATGTACTGGCACTGGGTCTTGTCATTAGACTGACCAAATTTGCCCCAGTGACTGTTCATCATAAACTTGGCTGTGGCGCGCATACCCTTTTTTTTAAATATTGGTGGGGTCCAGACGAACACCTTACTTATGGAAAACTCTGTCGACGAAACACGCCTTACTATCATCAGTCTTACATTCCTCAGGATAGCTGCTGGTTTTCTTGTTTCAGCTTGTAGAAGTTGTCGACGCATTCCGGATAGTCTCGTAAAAGACCTTAACGATACATGGTATGGTCGTGTCTGTCTGCCAGAGTAGTGCCTGAGCCGTAGTGTACTTTGACATTCCGCTCACAAGGAAAACACGACATACAACCATACCAGAAGCATCCCAGGTATTCGTACACTACTTTGTTGTGCGGATCGTATCCGTCTACCTTGAAGGTATGCCATCTCTCCTCGGTCGTCATTACCGAGCAGTAGTCGTTGACACCGGCGCAGGTGAAGGATACTTCATGGTTCAACTGTAAACCCCGGTTTCGTTCAAGAGACGCTAACCATTCGGCACATATTTTAGACTGCCGTGGCTGATTGTCCTCGTACCCCCTCGGGGGGTATTATAGCTATAGTGTTGGGTTTCAGGTACTTGCGTCTAAAGGTCAACATGCAGGCATGAGGCAATGTGATGCATTCGTAAAAAGGGTTAACGTCGTCAAGGGACATGAAGGCATCTATGAATTTAGTGCAACCCCATCTTAAGATGGACACATCTTGCCGACAATACTTTAAGAGCTCGACCTGCATGTTGAAAGGTGTCCTAAGGTTTTCCCTATACCACGTCAAGAATTTCATGTGATCATCCCTTGGCATGCTATTCGGATCGTAGTAATGTTTAGAGGGTAGTTTACTCTGGATAGCTGTCTGGTACCCGCCAGTCTTATTAAAAAGGTGTGGAAAATATCCCATTTCACCGTCTTCCAAAGCAAAATTATCGTAGAACTTTTTCAGAGCGGTAGGGATATAGTTGTGGGAGTCACGGAAAAGTAGCCTACCAAAGGTCATATTCAAAATTTTACCCCCGGTTTCTGAGTGAGATGTTCTAACAACGATTTCAAAATGAAATGATTATCGCAACCTTTAGCATAGTGTGCCACGACCACTATGCTAGCGTTACAATCGTTGTCATTTGTGGTAGAATTGTGATTGACCATGTCGGTAGACTCACTCTCGGGTGGGGTGGCGATGTTCTCGTCAGTATCTCGTGGTTTCTGTGCGGGTGGCATGAGCCGAGAAAAAAACTGTCCTACGAGTGTCTCGGTATGGGGACTGTCGATGACTATTTAACGTTTAAAATCAGTAGGTACGCAGCCGGTTTGTACTCTCACTACGCCAAGGTCATGTCTGACACAAGTATTCAGATTCTGATCCTATACACTTGCCGCAACCGAGCTGGAGAACGCAAAGGATAGGTATGTGTTTACCATTTTTGTCGCACATGGACTCGAAATCGTAAAACACATACTTAGTCAAATCATAGTCTACACGGTCCTCATCCTTAACGACGTGGACGGGTATGTGGCAGCAGTGCGATGGTCCGAAAAAACGTTTACACCGATAAAACACCATATCTTTAACATCTCTGTGACACTCGTGGCCTGTATTTCTATCGGTCTTGCATTTAGGACACCAGAATTTCTCTCGTCCACAAGCGCGGTTGGCGATATGAGCCGCGTGACAGTCCCTCGTAGGAAACCACACCTGACACTCTCGACAAGGTTGACCAAACAGCAGCAGTTTGCTGACGTCACCATCACCACTACCGGGTACCGCGCTATGGCGCTGCTGCTGCCTCTGTCGTCGAAAATCGTTCTGACAGCTTTTACCCTTACGCCCACATTTCCCACACGTGTACTCTTTTGTGCATGCATGAGTATTGTCTGACTTGTACCCTCTGTGACACACCCTGCAATATTTACGATTTCCGTACAGACCTACTACTGTATTGATGCAGTCATAGTGACCATGTGGTCCACCTCTGGGAGTGTTAGCAGGCCACCAGAAAATATCGATGCAGGGGATGTGTTCGGCCGTGTCAAGAGGAGTGTGCGGAGCGTACAGGATAGAAGCACCATTACCGGGTGTAATGGTGTGTACATGAAAGCGCGCCTCATCCCTTAAACATGTTTGGAAGGCCTCCCACGTGGGACGACCTTCCATACACGCTCCCGGGCGAGACCCGCTCACCTGTACAATTCATGCGTAGCTATCGTTTGTACAAACCTGCGCATCTCTCAGGAACGCTTCTTGCTCTGTATATCGCTGTCCATGTTCCTTCTTGGACACGTCCCGTGGTTGTGAAGTATACTTTAGAAAATAGAGGGCTACAGCAATAGCCGACCTAGACATAAATTGTCGCTGTTCTCTATTTTAGTAACACAACCACCCCTATTGGTTTTACGGTTGGTAAAAGCCTCCAGCGTGATTAGCTCTTTCTTAGTCAAACGTCCATTACCTCTACCTACAGCGGCGGGATTCCTCACTACCTATAACCTTACGGTCATGGGACTGTCAAACTTAAAGATGTGTTAGACTTGGCAACGTGTTCCATAGCCCGCAATATGATGTCACCCTTGAGTTCTTCAAACCTGACGAACGGTATGGCGTTGAGGGCGTCATAATGGACATACAGGGTGACGATATCCTCGGGGCGTATATCTGCGAAAAAATGTATGGAAAAACATAATGACACCAAGAATGCGCTTATGTCAGCTTTGAAAAGACACACAATGTGAAAAGTTATTAGTTACTACACTGTAAATGACTTGTTTGAGTGGCATTTTAGAAGTTGAGACGTACAATACAGAACAAGTTTTATGGATAACGTGAGTGCGACGTTTCGACCAGCTTACCGCTTAGCCAATTATGGCAATTATGTTGTTTCCTTTGTCTATTATGTTGTTTCATTGTTATATACAGTATAAATATGCAGCTCCCACACTTCATGCATCACTCCTGCTTGACAACGGTACAAGAATCTGTATCGAAATGTTGCACTCACGAAATAAAGACGTTGTTATCCATAAAAGGTGTTCTATATTACACTGTAAATGTATAGAGATTACGTTGCTTTTATGCACTTACTTTCCGAGTTACCCAGATGAGCCACGAGGGAGTCAAACCCGCGTGACAGAATGTCTTCCACGTCCACGCTGCCCTGTACTCTCTCCAGAAATTGTTGTAAAAACTCGACACCCTATATCTCTGACTATCCATCCGATGAAGTTCTCTGAGGAAAAAGACTTGTTGCAGCAAGTAGTCATACTCGCCATTTTCTCCCTCGATAACCCCGTGGTGGCCGTCATTGTGGGGAGAATGACACGGAGTCTCTTCCTCTACGACCTCGATGATGTCGTTGTCTTTGCGTTGTCACAAAGGTTGCCATGTCCCGGATTGTCGGCATGTGTCGCTGATGAGGCACTGGTATTCCTCATCATCCGGAGAAAAATATATAAGTATGTCATCCTCGGTATGTTCTATAAGAGACATGTCCGTATTTCTTACTAGCTTGTTTATGGGGTCTTCCTCGTCAACCATGATGAGAATGTCAAGCCGCGCCATTTTGTATGCTGCAAGTGAGAGCCATTTGTGAGAGAGACAGAGAGAGAGAGAGAGAGAGAGAGAGAGAGAGAGAGAGTCTGTTATGTTTACGACCGTGATTGAAAGGTTAAGATCGTCAACGCACACAATGGAAGACACTGACAGAGAGAAATGCTGTATAAGATGGTAGATGTAGTTTTCGCGATATTATGCGAGTTTATTGGGGAAAACTGGTGAGACAACGGCGACGACACACACGGCTGTGTATTAAAGACGATTAGGGCAATTAAACCTGTTGACGATGTACGTATAGGCTATTTTTGAGACAATAGGTAAGTCTATGTGAATGAAAAGGTGTAGAGACGACGGCGTCAACACACACGATGGTCAAAACGATTGTGTAATAAGGGCTAGTTAGACCACACTTTACGACAGTAGCTGAAAGGTTTATATCGTCAACACACACAATGGTAGACATCGACAGAGAGAAATGATGTATAAGATAGTAGATGTAATTTTCGCGACATTACGTGAGTTTATTGGGGAAAGCTAACAAGATGACAGCATCGACACTCACGGGTGTGTAATAGGGTACGATAAGAGGAGTTAAGCCAATTAACGATGTACGTAGGGGTTATTTTCGAGACAACAGACAAGCCTATGTAAAGGAAGAGGTATAGAGACGACGGGGTGGACACTCACAGCTGTGTATAATAGGGGACGATTAGAGCAGTTAGGGCAATTAACGATGTACGTAGGGGGTATTTTCGAAGGAAAAGGTGTAGAGACGGTGGCTTTGGCACACACGGTGGTCGAAACGATTGTGTAATAAGGGGTTGTTAGACCCATTAGCAGGAATATACGATAAGCCGTGGACATGGTGTGTAAGATAATAGAGCGATTTTCGTCTTCCTGCTGCGCGTACCGGGCGTGTATTGTGACGGCTATGTCTACAACGAGGACACGCTCAATTACCCTTTGGGACCTTTGGGGTGTATATGACCATGCACTTGACCACTCTCAAACCATACTGACTACAGCTCGCCATACAGTAAGATGCGACGTCCACGACTGTCACGACTCCTACACCGACTACTCCTTCCTATGACCGTTGTTATAGGTGTGGGGACTCTGGTCACTGGTCCCCCCAATGTCCGACGGCCACATGCTACAAGTGTGGAGGGAGTGGCCACTACGCACGGTCATGCACGGGTGATGACACCCCCACCACTAAGAAGGTCAAGACTGAGCCAACACCTACGACAGATGACTGGGCCAATGAAGATGTGATGGTGATTCCCGTGGAGAGGTGTGCCAAATGTCTAGTGAAGACAGCTGATGCTGCCACTCAGACTACGGGGACGGTAATGTCAAGCTTACAATACAGAAACATTGCCGGACTGTCTCGTAGTATGGATGAGGGTGAAAGGGGTGGGACCTTGGGGGTGGCTACCCCTATTGTGGAGGAAGACGAAGACGATGGAGCCCTCAGCCCTCAAAGACCTCTACTGATGGGTACTTACACCCCCGCATCTGATGACAACACCTCCCCTTTGCCCGCCCGTCCGACATCAGTACACTCCCCACTCTTCATTGACGACGATGAAGAGGAAGGAGAATATGCCCAGCGGCTGTCGTGGGAAGACGACGATGACGAAGGGATTTTCGTTGATTTTGAGGCCTCACATAACCGTCGCCCCTCAGGCAATACTGTGACAGTCTAATCTTGTAAAACGTATGGCTAGATTGTTTATATGTTGTATTATATATTGTGTTATATATTGTACATACCTGTATTAAATTTTTTGACATCGTACGCATTTAGTTGGTGCTGATTCGCGAATTATGGGAGTGCGGAAAGGTAGAAGAGAGCATTATGTGACATGTGTGCACGCACACAACAAAAACACACACACAATACACGCACTCGCACACACTCGATGACCACATATCATCGCCACTTTTTGTGACGGTTCAATGACCACGCCACATGACGTCAATACCGTCGTTGTAGGTCATGACGTCAGTGTGGCAGTATATTTTTGAGGTTGCGTCACCATCAGTGACGTCACTACCTTCGCTTGTATGTCGTGACGTCACGAGACCTATCGTCGTGACGTCATACGTGTATGACGTCAGTGTGGCTGCATATTTTCGAGGTTGCGTCACGTTACGTCACCTCGGAAATGTGCGGTCACCATACTACTTAGGTCACAAAACATTTTCCAAAATGTAGAAAATAATATCCGTAGAATCGAATTTGAGCACAAAGTACAAACATTAGTGTGTAAGAGTCACCACATTGACTTTTCTGTGGCAGGCAGACGTAGCGGTGCGTGATATCGTCAAGTTGACAGGGCGCAAAATTCAACAGTTTCTAAATTCGGTACGGACTTCTCATTACAGCAAAAGCGCCTATACTCTTAAACTTTTTTTGTACCAGTACCAGTACCAGTAATTACATATCAAAGACTATCTAAGTTATACAATCAGGTTAACCTTGCGTAAACTGTCAGAGGCTCTCCTGTCGCATCTATCCAAATTTCCAATATGCAACGTAAATGTAAACTATGACTTCCGAGAAAAGGTTAAGGCCATGAGGTTACTGCCATTATTCTGGTGGGGAAGGGGCCTACGGTGGAATTTTCAAATGTATACCAAGCTTTTAAAACTTATTTGATATATGTTTTCCAACTTATCAGTTAATGATTGGTGATTAATGCATTGAAAAAACAAAACGTTATTTGTTATTACTGAATCTGGAGTTTGTTAGTTATTGACGGTTTGCCACCAATCACCCCGTTTTGGGCGATGCCACTTGAGCTTGGAATGGGAGGCCGCTTTACGTATTGACTCGTGAACTAAAGAAAGAGTTCCAACTGAACATGGTCGAATGGAGATAAACATACTATGTGGGAAAATCGGAGGTATATAACGAAATTATAATAGCTCTAAATTTCATTTAAAACCGAACGCGTAGCGAAATTGTAATAGCTCTAAAGTTCATTTGAAACCGAACGCGTAGCGTGAGGTTGTAATTGAAAAATGTAGAGCTATTATAATTTCGTTATATACCTCTGATTTTGCCACACAGGAGGTTTATCTCTTAAGTATTCTCTATTTATTACTAGCTCGTGGAAGATACTGCACTGTAATATTTAAGGCAATATTACACTAGTGTAATACCGGTAGACGTATGACGTCATAATGGTTTACAGCTATGGCGTCAGAAAGCGAATACCTCTGTCACAATGTTATTAGACCTTGCTTGGCTTGCTTGGAAAGCTAAGAGTGATCACACTGTAGGCAGTTTCTATCAATATATGTTGGAGAGTCATAAACAGGGTGCCTATTCTCGAAAGTGTCCCAGTTAAGACAGATCCTAACCATTCTCGAAACTATGCTATTCCTGTCCTAACCTGAGCTACCGATCCTAGCTAGGATAGCGAGCTTTTCAGTAGGTGAGATAGAAAAAACCTTTATTAAGTTGGGGATATCACTAAATATTACCCATGGTTCGAATTCATTGCATGGAAAACATATATAAGGGCAGCAACAATCTCGTTTACAAGATAAATGGAAACACTAGAAATCAAAGTAAAGAACTCGAACACGTAGAAATTCAGCGTTTGATGGACTTACTAGAGCTAGAAGAAATTGTAATTAATTATAGTTATAAGTAAAATTAATATCTTGTATCTTATTAATATTAATATCCAGAAAACTAGAGTGAGCTCGTACTCGAATAGAATATCTAATGATATGTTTGAATATCTACATGTATTTGTTCAAATTACCTTACTTCCAGAAAAAAAATTACAGGTTTATATATGCAATGCTTACATAACTTTATATTAATTCGTGAAGTTTTTGAAAATGCATGTACAGATGTATTCAACAAGAAGATAACATTTTTCTTCAGAGTTTGAAGGTCTGCCAAAACATAATACCATATGTACAAAACATATTTTCATTTTATGTGTTCGTTTTGAAAGTCATGACTTCAACTCCCATTATGCCTCATCTCACAAAATGAAAATTCAAGTCTTGTTTAATACACAGTATTAACTTCCCTTATGAACCTATCCTAGTATTTGTCCTAAGTAAGGATATCCTAGCGCTAGGATACTTTTCGATAATAATGTAGGACAAATATCCTAGACCATAGGATCAAAGTTAGGATGTCATAGGACTAGGATCCTTTCGAGAGAAGGGGTCCAGAATACTAAACTCTCGTCCGTGAAATACCATCTTTATTCTAAACACGTGAAAGATTTAGTATCATACTCGTTTAATCAAAAATGATATTACACAGAAGGTGGTTTAGCATCCTTTATGTCTCAGTCTTATCCATTGTGTTACAATGTTCCAACTGTAATACAGATCTGGAAGGTACTACAGGGTCTACAAGTCTACCATATTCAAAAAAGTTGGCAGTTGGATATTGCGTCACATCTCACTTTACATCTCATGATCAAGTTACACGGAAACCAGCAATTGTGTGGAGATCAAAGTACCCTGGATACTCTGCCTGTTTGGTAAGCTTTACCACTGTTGTCAAGCAAGTGAATGTTACTACCTCAGTCTTTATTGCTATAATTACTGCTTTTGTATACCGGCTTTGAATTTGCACTGCTACTCTGGCCTAACCTCACTGTGTCTGCAGCCTTTTGGTTGTTACAACTGATAAAAGGCCACAGCTCACAACATTTCTGGTTATATGCTGTTTAATTAAAGTTTGCATGTACTGGTGAACTGTTCTCACAGAGTGAATACTGTTTAATTAATATCAGATTATGGTGGCAACCTGATGGATGAACACTTTTGAAGAATAATTGACAAGACAAAACTGTGTTTAATCTTGACCGGGATATTATCCTCGCTGTT